CCAATGCCCTGCACGGAGGCCCGACTGGTTGGGGAAAGCGTGTCTTCGATGGCCCGCATACTGTTCAGCGCCATGGCCGTGACGCCCTCCTGTTCAAGTATCGCTGCCAGGATGCTGAGGAGGGGTACCCTGGTACTGTCGAGGTGCGTGTCTGGTACACTGCCAGCAAGGAGGGTGAGGCGAAGACCGTTTTGACGGCTGAGTATGAGGTGGAGTTTGTTGGTGATGAATGTGAGGAGACGGTTGTCAATATCACCAACCATAGGTATGTATACGTTGCATATTCTGCCCCGCTCGTCTTGGTAGCACCCTGGCTGGCTGGCTAGCTAGCTAGCCAGTCAAGACTGGACTCCTCTACAAACAACCATTTATCTTCTATCCTCGATGACGATACTTACCCACCCCATTAAAGCTACTTCAACATCGGCGCCGGCCCAACCATCGACGGCACAACCGCCCAACTATCCACAACCGACTACCTCCCCTCGACTCAACCGGCATCCCTGAGGGCAACATCACCAAATTCCCCCGAGACGTAACCAAGCCCTTCACACTCGAAGCAGTCGGAGCCCATATCGACGACGTCTTCATAATGGAAACAGACCCTACAAAGATCCCACTCGACACACGCGGTCTGCCCCTTCGCCAACTTGCCCAGTTCAGCAACGCCGGTACGGGCCTGCATCTGGAAGTGCACAGTACCGAGCCTGCGTTCCAGTTTTACACGGGTAAGTATATCAATGTGCCCTCGATTGATGGCGCTGCGCCGCATACCGAGGGCGCGGGCTTCTGCGTTGAACCGAGTCGCTTTGTTAATGCTATTAATGAGCCTGAGTGGAGGAATATGGTGCTTTTGAAGAAGGGGCAGGTCTTTGGTTGTAAGAATGTTTATAAGGCGTGGAAGGATTAGAGTTGGATCGCGTCGCAGTTCATTGCATTGAATGTGGATATACTACATAACCTATGTATGTACTGTATGTACTAAGGGTCTAGGCCGAGAATTAACCGAGTCATGATCGGTCGTGAATCTAGAATTCATCCTTTTGTGTGACGATTTCTTGTTTTAGGGAAGGAAGGGGTCTCGCTCGCCTTTGTGGAGCATTCTTCTGTTACAGTAGAAAAAAAACTCTTTTTTTGTGAATAATAATGTATGTATGAGTGATTCCTCTTGCGTCTTAATATGCAGCAATGATGTATACAGTGTTGCCACCGACAAGTTTCACTAATTACATAGTACTATACAGTATGTGCTACGAGAGAGCTTAAAGATGCCGAGGCACGATTCCGTGGATGGGTCCCGACGGTTCAAAAACGCTGCCGAGTATCGGGAGCCGAAAAGTGCCCTGGGCTCTGTTATCTCCGTGACAGCCCAAGTACGAGTTACCCGATCCGCGGCTTCTCGGCAGCTTTTCTGCGAGCCATTCCCAGACCGACTTGGCGATTCGGAGGGTCCGCTCCACTTGCGGCCGATCTTGGGTGTAGTGTACATCCATAGTGTACATCCATACATACGCTATGTACGGCGGTGGAAAGAGTTCGACCGCTGACAAACCCTAATCTGGAAAAGGTGATTTTGTTTCTTGTTTTGGCTAATTTTTGACCCTGTACGCTGGGCCCATGCTAGTTCACACTCATTTGGACATGGGGATCATACGATAGTCGGTCGGGTCCGATAGTGTACATTTGAAATATACTTGTACATTTAGCTGCATTGTGTAGGTACGAATGTAGTATGGTCTTGTACATTGTTCACCATAATCCTGCTGACACGATACGCCTTCTACGCAAAGGCTACCCGATCCGGACAGACAGAACAGACAGGACCCGATCTATTCTCGTTGCTTAAACTCTAGCAGGGGTTCCTTGGTATACTTTTCTGGTAAGGTCCCTGGCCCACAGGCTACTTTAAGTTAGAAAATTATAGTAAATGGATATAGGAGCAGAACCTGCTTTGCTGTGGTACTCGTGGAAGCCCTGGAGTGTAAGTGGCTTCTGTTCGTTCAGCGTTGAAGAAAGGCCCCACTCCCACACACAAACTTGCTCAGTCCGCCCTGGATGGAACTACTATAGGGCGGAATATATAATCCATCAACTCTAGAAGGAAACAGACTAAGCCCAAAAGAAAATCAAAAATCGCTCGATGGAGCCATTATTACATACACTTGTACCGTACGAACGGGGTATCAGATCGGGTCTGTGCCGTTTGCCGTTTGCCGTCTGCCGTTTTCCGGAGGTTAAGTTGTCCCTGTCCCGCCCAGGCGGTTTGGAATTGTATAGTCTTTCCTGACGTGGTAGTTTGTGGGTTCCTTCTTGGTTTTCTAGAACGTGGGATAGAACGATAGAACGGGGGGGGGGGGCATAGAACGGGTCGGGATCGGAGCTATTCTCCCGTGTCCGTGTCGTGTGCGTGGCTGGGGCTGAAAATGCCTACTATTCATCTTGTACGTAGTCCCGAACCTTCTTTTCATTGCGCTATTTAGTCTGGCAGGCCCGTTATGGATGCTTGGCGTGAATAGTGTATTATTTTATGCTGAGATCGACCGATCGGCCCGGAGCTATTTTACTTTACCACCCAAATGAATAGTGCGGGCGCTTGGACTCGCACTATAGCCTTGTTATTGTTTCATGTCCGTAGAATAGAAAGAATGCGGAGAACGGAACACCGTATGTATGTACATCCGTTGAGGCTGGGCTGAGGCTGAGGCTTTTTCTGTCTGAAACTGCTAGCTTATTCTTGGCTGGGTCTATTGAATAGCGTGGTCTTGCCGCTTGTTTCTGGTTAGATCTCTTATCTCTGGATACTGTGGAGTCAGCGCCGCCACAGGGTTTTTACATTCCGAGCAGACGGAACACGGGTATACGGAATTGTGTACATCCGAAGCCGTTCTCGAGAAGTATGAGATTCCAGATGGAATATGGATTAAGGCTATAGTTTCTAGAAGGTAGTGCGTAATTCTATTGATTGCTAACCTTAAATCAAGTAGTCATAGAGTGATGTAGAGAAGGTTGCATAAAAAGCATAAAGTCGCATGTATAAATTGTACTAACTTGTGATCGCAAGATTCAATGAAGTGGACTCTCTGTAGGTAATTCAGAATGCATGGTAAAGGTACTTTAGCCAGGAATTTATATCAACAGATATACAGCTCGATGGATGTGAGTCAGGTCAACGCATCTGCTAGACATAACAAGCCTCGCCGGTTCACTTGTGCCTAATAGTAATACTTGATAATATAGTTGAGCAAAGTTTGATGAATACTAGTATTCAGTACTAGTATTACTATCATGATCTGACTCTTTTGCCTACTAGTAGTATATACATATACAAGTTCGGCTAAGACCTTGGTTCTGCGCCTTGCAGCATGTGTCTCTTTTCTTTGCAAACATCTTCGTTTTTGCTTTGTGGCGCTCATTGATGCTCTATAGATACCCTCTTTTTGTTCTGCTTTATCAACTTCCTCTCTCTTGTTTTGAGGATCTCCAGGCTTTTCCTTTGTGACCAGTGCTGCTTTGCTTTGCAATATCTTGGTTGGCTCTACTAACATAATTGCAGGATCCATACTAGTAGATACTACCTATAAATACTATAGCCAGAAACTCAAATATAGACTACAGTATTCAACTAAATACTTGCTGGATGAGTGCAGATCCGGTTTGAACCATTGTGATGACGAGAATGTTGTTATGATTACACCGATTAAGTGACCCCAGCAGTGACACTCCCATTAGGTCACTGGGTGCCATCAACTTCCCCATCAAAGTTCAAGGTACCCGTTCCTTCGGCAGGAACCAGCAGCGTCACTGATTACCCCCTCACCATCACACCTTCCTTCTCAATCATCATACCTACCTCACCATTACCCGTGACTTCCCATCTTGAACAACACCAACATCAACGTCAACAAACAATCTCTATGTGTTTTTGTTCAACCACGACGTCTTCCCACTCCTCATTTCTTGACATTGTCAGGAACATAAGATCTGGGAAACCTCACACATCACGCCGTGCAACTGCCCTTTCACTTCGTTATTACTTCTCCGGTGTCGAGGGGTCTTGCTGGACAGCGTCAGTAAACGATCATCCTCCAGAAAAACAGTTTCTCTAACATGTCAACTGGCAGCCAAACAATCACTCCCATTGGCGACCACACACTCGGAGACTGCTCAATCGGCTACGGTTACGTTCACAACTCTGCCGCAATCTCATCTCCCACAGACAACCTGGCCTGAGAGTAGGCTGTCTGAAACCCAACAGGGGACTACCACCTCACCAAAATGCTAGTCATCAACTCAATCGAACAAGAACGTCCTTTCAATATTCAGCCCCTTATGAAACGAGGCAATTGGGCGGACAAGAATCGCGGTGTCGTTTTGGTCTTCGTCATCGTCTTCATTGTTTTTCTCGGCCTTGTCTCCCTAGTAGCCTATCGTCGGTGGATGAATCGAAAGGCCGATAAGGAGTCATACGAGACTACGGTTTAATCGGATCGGAGCTAAGGAATCATAAAATATCTGATCTGATGCAGGAATGGGGACTACTATCAACATCAACGGTCATCTCTCCTGTGAAGTGCGAATGGGGTATGGTGGGCTCATTTAAATCGCCCGCCAGTTATTGCGTGAATCGCGGAGATTTATAGTGGCACTCTCATTCCTCCTGTTCTTCTCACCATGTTTTTGAGCCCTGCTACTTAATGTTACAGTAGCTACACCCATTGCTTCACGTACAAGTATGTCTCCTTTGCATCTTTACTACTTAATACTATAATGATGGGTTTCTTATGTGGAGTAGTCATTTCCAGGGCTCAAATGATCCACAGATGCATACGATATTGTGGAGAGCCGCAAGGCTCCCAGGTGCTGCCTTAGGGTAACCTAGTCTACGAGTAGCAAGATTTGCCGTCTGCGAAAGCATATTTGAGCTCACAATTTTCCCCATTTCAAAGCCACTTTAAAAATCAACCCTCCAAAAAATAGCACAAAGGGGGAAAAAAACAAGCATGAGAATCCACCACCTACTCGCCGTGGCCTTGCTACCACTAGCATCCGCAACCACCTCAGCCTCATCCTCATCCTCAACCGCTACCTCAGAACAAGAACAACATTTCACAATAAACTATGGCGGCAGCCACCAAACCCTCGACCTAATGCGCTCCATCGCCTCCGCCAAAAAAGCCAACGACCCCATCGCAACAGACCTAGCCCAAAAACTCCGCGATCTTCGCGCTCAGCCCGTGAAGAAATTTCCCTACAACGTCGTCTGCGAAACATCAACAGATATCAGCGCCGAGATCTACCCGCTGGACCCGAGTAATCTCCACCCGCAGATCGCATGGGCTGCGGCTGAGATTGAGGCTCTGTTTACGGGTCAGCCGTATCCGGGTGATTATAATATGCCTAAGCATCCGGATGGATTTCGTGTTGTGCGGGCGGATCTTGATCAGTTACCCAGTACGATTAGGGGGTGGATTGAGGGCCATCCTGGGCAGAAGTCGTTTTGCGTGGTTGATGGGGTGGTGTTTTTTTGCGCCAGGGGTTATTTTGGAGATGTTGGGGTTGTTTGCTGGGGAGGGGGAGAGGGAGTGTAAAGGTATGTGATTGCTTATTTTCTCTTTGATGTGAATTTTCCAGTGCTAATTGCCATTGCCAATCAGGTGAATTTCCCACAGACCCTGAGGTGTATTTGAGCCATAAAGGTGAGGATATCATCTTCACTGCTCATCTGTTGGGAAGTGCGGAGATTGGAACCAATTTGTTTTTCAAGGCCGTTGCACGGAAACAGGTCAAGGAGGATGTACAGGGTGAGGAGAACCCTAATAATGGATGGATTGGCGTGGATTATCACCAACACCCGGATGGGACACGGGATAGCAGTGGTTATCAGTTAGGACCTAACGGGCGTGACGGAAAACCTACTAAGGACGAGCTTTGATCTAGATGACGGTTCTACTCCATGCACTGAGGCATGATTGGACTGTCGAAATGCAGGCAAAAGATTTTTGTACTAGGTAGCGACTATTACTAGTACTATATCAAGGTTACTAGCTTGAGACTGCTATAGCTTGAGCTGAGTAAATGGAACTATCATATGTATAGCTGAACTGATACAGGGAGAATCGAAATCAGTTTCACCACTTTTTTTCTCTTAGGCTCTTTTTCTTCGAAACCTCAAAATGTACTCTAAAGCTAGGTATTTTGGAAGCTATCTAAATCAAGATGTCACTATATGAAATAAGGATGGGATTTATAGCAAAGGCTGAGTGCTCGTGCTGCAGGTGGAACTAAAAAATGGGGTTTGATAAAAATAAGGTAGTAACACTACTTAAATGATAGCACTGAGGAAGGTTAAGACAGCAAGAACTACCGTTGTGATCGCAAGTGCGTATGATCCTGCTGTCAAGCCCGCTTCAAAGTCCTGTAAAATCGCAGTTGTAATAGCAACAACGCAAGCACTGAGGAAGAGACTCGCCATGACAAGAAACATAAGATAGCGTGTGTGCCAGCCTTCAATCAACTCAAATCCATATATTACCTGGCCATAGGGACTCGTTGCATCACACCCGGTATCCAACGCAAGAGAACTATAGAGCAAAATCAGATGGCAGGCATTGAATAGGAAAAGGTATAGCGTCTCATACCTATAAGAAGTCACAAAATTTCCAGCTTCGAGAAATTCAAGGTCATCTGTTTGAATTCCGGTTTGCCAATAGCACTTTACCATTGCCGGAAGCCACTGATATACATCTTTCCGTAATTTTAACTTTCTGGAATGCTGGATAGAACAGTAGAGTTTGCTTTCTATTTCATCCCAGGCTGAATTAGGGCAATCCATACCGTCGGCGTGACTTTCCCCCATGATATCCACTCCGCATTCCCATACGTCTGTGACTGGGGCGGAGTGCTGGATGGCGTTCTGTATGTCTGCTATTCTGGTGTCGTAATCAAAGTCTCTAACATACACAGAGATTTCTTCGGTGGTTTTGTCATACTTGGCGCACCGGAACTAGGACATTCGTCAGAGCCATTAATCGGTGCGGATCAAGACACACCTCACCATAACTTCTCTGACTTCCACGACAGAAAAAAGGGAATGCCGTTTCCACCAACTACACTGTTTGCGCAGTTCCGTAATTCCGAGCACGTAGCCTGTCTTTTCGATATTTATATCTTTGGCAATCCATCTTTTCCCCTTCTTCATGCAAATCCATATACACTTTGTATGACCTTCGTGATTCTTTTTCAGGCAGTAGTCATGGATGGTGCTTGGCCGTCCATTCCCAAAAGGCGACGAGCCGTTTGAGGCGCTTGCTTGTGTATTTGAAGAGGTTTTCGGTAAGACTTCTGACGATTGGAGACTCGGTGAGGGGGCTTGCTTCGAAGATTGCATAATTCAGGCAAGCCGAAAAGATGAATATTGGAAGAAAGATGTCCGGATGTGTTAAGCGTACGTCCTTGAGATCAAGTCTTATTTAAAGTTAAATTGTGCTAGTGAGGCTCTTTGAAATATTACATTGCAAGGCTGCAGTCAGGCAGCTATGCATACGACTCTGGTTGGGCGCTAAGTAAAACATCATTTGATCTGATATGATAAACAATTAAGAATGGATTTGACCTTTACTCCATTGCTAGTAATAGATCTATCTGGCACTACCCCCTGGAATTCAGCTAATCGGTAGAAAGTTATCCTAGACACACTAAAGACCGCAAAGGACTGATACAAGAGTTATCGTGATGTTGTTATCACGACTGTAAAGGGAATCTGGAAAGACTCGCCGAATAGCGTATTTTGAAATAGGAGTCGAGAAAGACATTGTTTATGTAAAGTGGTGACGTTTATTCCGATGCACCCTATGAGATTTCCCGCATGCGGTATCTTGCGCTCCTATCTGTTCCATCTGCCGAGTTGAACCAGAATGGGACTATCGCAAAACGTATCTGCAGAAGCCCGAGCACGGCCGGGTTGCTTATTCTGATGCACCAACCCCCCAAAAATAAGAAAAATTCCAGATGAATTTTATCACTATATTATACCACTGCCAGATAATAATAATAATATCTCAAACTTGAATTGACAAAACACCCCAGAATTATAGAATACACGTGACCCATCTCTCCCATCTCCGATTCTCCCCGACCCCGCGCGGGGAGATTCAAAAGTGCAGTCATCGCAGATCTCCCCCACCTTAAGTTCACGCAACATTCAAATCAATTCCAACACAATGGCAGCTACATACGGTGATATCAGGCATCTACTGCCGGGCAACTACAAGCGCCAAATTACCGACTGGCTAGAGGAGGACTGTCCCAGCCTGGACTATGGCGGTTTCGTTGTCGGCGAGTCAGAGGGTGAAGCTCGGTTACTGGGGAAGAGCAAGGTGAGTACTAACCAACCAACCGGCCACCAGACCAGACCGATATGGAAGGAAATCAAAATCCGGAGGTCCCCCATTATGAGTTGAGACCCAGGCTGATCTGTTATGCAATATGACTAGGGAATAATCGCCGGCATCCCCTTCGTCGATGAGGTTTTCTCACAACTTGGATGCGAGTACGTTTCCCCTCAAATTGAGTCTATATACCCTCAGCATGGGAAACAAACCTTCCAACTAACACGCAACAACAGAATCGAATGGCACATAAAAGAAGGCCAACCCCTCTCCCTAAACCCCCACCACCACTGCGCAACAGTCCGGGGCCCCGTCCGCAAAATCCTCCTCGGCGAACGCGTTGCCCTAAACATCCTCGCCCGCTGCTCAGGCATCGCATCAAAGAGCGCCTCCATGCTCTCCGCGCTCCGCGCACAAGGATGGCAGGGCACATTAGCCGGAACACGCAAGACAACACCCGGATTCCGCGTCGTTGAGAAGTACGGAATTCTCGTCGGTGGCGCGGACCCTCATCGTCATGATCTGAGCCATATGACCATGCTGAAGGATAATCACGTGTGGGCCTGTGCTAATAACCGCTCCGCGGCTGATGGGGGTGTCGATGTTGAGGGTGAAGGGCTTGATCCGAATTCGATTGAGTCTATTGCCGCGGCGATTCCGAGGGCTGTGCTTGCTGCGAAGAGTGCGGGTGGATTTGCGACTAAGGTTGAGGTTGAGTGTCGGAGTGTTGTGGAGGCGAATGCGGCTATTGGGGCTGGGGCTGATGTTATTATGTTGGATAATTTTACGCCCGAGGGGGTGCGGGAGGCGGCGAGGGTGCTTAAGGAGGAGTGGGCTGGGAAGGGGCGTGCGTTTTTGATTGAGGTTAGTGGTGGGTTGACGGAGGATAATGCTGCGGCTTATACATGCCCGGATGTGGATATTCTGTCGACCAGTTCTATTCACCAGGGAACTGGGATTGTGGATTTCTCGCTCAAGGTCTCGCTGCGGTAGATATCAACTTGAAGGTTATGTATATCAATTAGATGAATAGTGAAACGTGTATCCATGCAATAAAATGTATTTGAATAGAGATACAAGAGAAGAAGGGTAAGGAAAAATGTTGATCGGATCCAGTCCAGTCCAGTCCAGTCCAACGCCTCTCATGATCATCGTAATCCCGAACATCGCAAGACAGAGTGTAGGCAAGATGCAACAGAAAAGCGAACAAAAACGAAAAAAAGAAGGCTGATAAAGGGTATATAGTACACAAAGGCATTACTGCATCAACCTATTAATTCAAAACACAGTTCAGACTTCGATATCCACCGTAAAGCCCTCCCCTTCACTCGAGCTCGGGGCTTCATCGGAGGTCTGTGGGCGATTGCGTCCATTCTCCGTGATGGTCTTTTGGGAGCCAAGTCCAAGTCTGGTGCGCTCTCGTCGCAGTTGATCTTGGAGATTCTTGATATCGGCATCACGTTCTTCCAATCGCTTGCGTGCTCCATTGCGGTCGAGAAGGCGGCCTTCACGCTCGGCCTTAAGTCGCTTTTCTAGCTCATGCAGACGGTGGATCCATTTCTCGTTATCCCCTTCCCAATTTCCAGTCCCACCGCTACCGCGTGTGCGATGTGTCATTGCACCTACATTGTTGGTCAATGTGCTCGTCGACGAGGTGTGAGAGGGCTGCGGCAGGCCTGTGGAGTGGCGTGCGATGCTTCTATCAGAGCGTGGCTTCTCGCTGGTCCCCGATGTCGAGTTCTGGCGCGTCAACGAACGCTCAAGGTCCGCGGGGGAACCAATCGATGGAGATCGAGACCCAGAAGCCAGTACAGCCGCAGTGGCCGCAGAAGAAGATCCATGGGCACGAGAATTAGATTGGAGTAGGTTGATCTCTGCTTTCAAAAGTCGGTTTTCACCACGCAATTTGCTGACCTCGGGAGACGAACTTGAATGGCCACGTCCATTGCGCAGGTTCTTGACGGCTTCCTCGACCCGTTCGAGTCTCCGGACTCGTTGGGCAAAAGCGCTTTCAAGGTTGTGGTACTGCTTGGTCAAGTCATGCTCGATGCTTCTGGCGCGACCCTTGAAACCTGAAATCACCCCCTCGACAGTTTTAATGGCAAGCATTAGATTCCGGTTGAAACCAGGCCAGAAGAGGATATTGCCGATGACTTCCTGGCTTGGCAAGTTGCCATTGATCAAGCTGTTCGAATGAGCCCAATCGGGACCACAGAGCGCAGAAAGTCTCTTCCAGACAGTGAGGAACAATGTGTTGCGCTCACTAAGTTGGTCACGGAATTGCTGTTCGAGAGACGTGAATCGCTTGCGATCCTGGTTCCTAGCCATTTCTAGGTCCGTGATGCGAGAGTTGCTCTGGGTGATAGTCCGCGATGCTTGTTGATGGGACTTGAGTGATTGTTCAAATGATTGCTTGTCAGCCCTGCGAGCTTGTCGTTCACGTTCCAGGAGCTCAGAGAGTTTGCGGGACTCAAGTCCATGGCTTTCCAAAAGAGCATCCCGGTTACGGAGAACCGTCTCTTTCTCGTCCAGTTGTTGTCGTACG